CATCATATATCTTACCTGAGCTGATTTAATATCCTCCTAACAGGATTCTGCATTTATTTTATTCCTTCTAATCTTTCCTGCATATTGCATATAAAATGAATGTAAATATTATCACATCACATTCTTCTCCTTTCAAATCCTTCAGCACCTTTCTGCTGTTGTGGTGACTTGTTGATTGTAGACTGTGTGCACGTTGCCTCTCTGTTGTTCTGCTCAGCTGCTAAGGAAAATGACTTGTACAAAGGCCCTGTGGTAGTAGATAACTTCCAGATTCCTGAACATGCCATTTTATCTCCTACCCCAGGGCCTATGCACAAGCTGTTTCCTTTTCCTGGACCACTCTCCCCATCCCCATTACTCTTACCTGGCTTCTAATATTATATTGGAGATCTCTGATCTCTGGCTTCTATGACTAGGTCAGTTTTCCATAAAATATGCTTTTGTAGCATTGTCTAGTTCCTTATTATAACATTTATTACACTCAGTATTTCATAACACTGCCTTTATTCAGATAGGAAATTAAAGTTTATAAAGGTAAAGTAATATATCTGTGGTTACTCATATTGAAAGTGGCTAAAATTAAACTCAAATCCAAAATTGCCAGGCTCCCAGCCCTTTGTTTCTTGCACCTCACTCATGCTAGCTCTTGTGTTAACAGTCTATGAATCAAAGGCATTGAGTGCTATCACCGAACTACACCTGGGTCTATAAATTCACTCACAGTCTTTAGAGTTTTAATTTCACTCTTGATTTAAACTCAGAATTGATTTTGTGCATTTCCCCAGGCTATATTTGACTAGCTTCAAATAAGAACAAAAACAGTACCTAGATTTTAAGTGGAAATCATTCAGTTTAGTAGATAGTCTTATTTTTTTTGTTGTTTTAATGGGTATTATTATCCATCATTTTCATAATTCTTTTTATTGGCAGAGGCAGGGTGAGGTAGATTATCATATTCAAGTCACACTTATTCCATTATAGTCATCAACTGACAAAAACTAAGTGAGATGAAATTCTCTATGGTTGGTACAACTACTTGTTTCCAAGTTCGATTGGAAAATTGAGTGGGCTTAAAAATGTGGGAATGGAAAAGATGACATTCTTTAAGATGGCAATATGCCCAAACAAGGTCTCAGTGACACATTTTTTATTCCTTTCATTTGAATTTTGCCACATTAAAAATATCAACTAAGGCTTGCCAGAGCCACATGATTGCCCCTCTCCATTTCTTCAGAAATTAGGCTTAAATTCTGTTTTCTGATACTTTAGTCTGAGTAAAATGGAAATAGAGCCTAAGATGGGAGTGAAGAAGGGATAGTGATAAGAAAAAAGAAAATAAGTCCTAGAAATCAGACTCTGTGCATATAGGTTTTCATCCAGGTCTGTTGTGTCTGATATCTATTTGCCTAATTAAAGATGAATTACTGCAATTGACTTTGCTGTTAGAGGAACACCACAAGTCATGGACTCATTTCAGCTGGCTCTGGAAGCTTCTGGGTCATATTGAAAGAATCGCAGAAAGTCATGGTATGGGGAATTCTATGTCCATGAACCAGCCTTCAGCCTAGTTTTCTGGCTACAAATTGGCATCAACACTGAGTGAAGCTAGGCCAGAATGAAAAACCAGGCAGTTTACCAGTGCAGGGAGGGAGAGTATTGAGAACAATACTCAAATCCAACACACAGGGTGTCTGCCTGGAGCCTGACCAGGCAACCTGAAAATCACCCAAAAAAACAGGGGCTGGCAAATAGATGGTATGGAAAAGAAAATGAACCATGAGTATCTACCTGTCAGTAGATCATGCTACAATACCCACTGAGGCCTGGAAACCCATGGCTTCACCATTTTTCCTTATGACACTTTGCCCTCTGAAAAGGACTTTGAGAGTACAGCGTCACACAGTGAGGAGGCCAGGTTTGGATGGGAAAGCCCCACCGAGAGGAGCCAGGTCTAGATCTCAGGAATGGGTAGGGTCATTTGCAGGTGGTCGCTCAGGAGAGGAGGATTTGCAGGAAGCCAGGGAGGACATAGTATGGATAAAAGAGAAGTAATAAACCTGAAGAACATCCCCAGGTGAGACTTGATGTATCGTACACAACTTAAAGCAGAAAATCCCTCTAAAGGCAGAAATATCCACTTATTCCCTAGGCAATAAGTCTTACAGTGTCAACTATGTAAGAAGCGTTGCACTAGGTGTTGGGGAAATAGCGAATCGAACAAATAGATCAACAAAAACACGGCCCCTTGCACCAATGAAGTTTACAGTGCAGTGCAAGATTTTTTTGAGGTAACAACACTTAATTTGAGACCAAAAAGGTGAGTAGACATTTAAAGGACTAATACAAGAATAATATTCAGGAGAGAGAAAGAGAGGAGTATGTATTGAGACTCTGAAGAGTTGAATGTTAGACATGGTGGAAGAAAAAGACACTGGTTAGTATGGGTGAACAATGTTGTATCAAGCATGTATTTTTTTATATTATGTCTATACTTCTATATTCCCTGTATTCTTTTGTCCCCCAGGATTAATATTTTGCTACTATACTTGCTACTGTATTTGCTACGTAAAATAAAGCACTTATATGAAACTTATCATTTGATACATTTTGACATAAGTATTCATCATGAGAACATCATCACATTTGAGACAATGAGCATATCTATGACTCTCCAGTTGTCTCCTCATGTCACTTTGTGGTCTCTTTCCTCTACTCCTCCCTACTCCTGACCCCAGCTATCCACTCATGCTTTCTGCTACTATGGATTAGTTTCCATTTTCCAGGATTTTTTTTTTTTAAGATTTTATTTACTTATTTGAGAGAGAGACAGAGATAGCAACAGAGATAGTGAGAGAGAGCATGAGTGGGGAGGAAAGGGAGAATCAGGCTCCCCACTGAGCAGGAAGCCTGACTCGGGACTCAATCCCAGGACCCTGGGATCATGATCTGAGCCAAAGGCAGACGCTTAAACTACTGAGCCATTCAGGCATGCCTCCATTTTCCAGGATTTTATATAACTGGAATAACACAACAGATACTTTTTCTTGTCTGACTTATTGCACTCAACCTAGTTATTCTGAGATTCATGTGTAGATTTGCTTATATCACTAATTCATTCCTTTTTATTGCTAAGTGAGATTCCATTGTATGGCTATACCACAGTTTGTTTATTCATTTACCTGCTAATTGGCTTTTGGATTGTTCCAGGTTTTTAGTTTTTTGGTTTTTTTGCTATTGCAAGTAAAGCTGCTATGAATATTTATGTACATAATGAACATATGCTTGCATAGTCCATTAGGAATGGAATGGCTATGTCATAAGATAGGTATGTGCTTAACTTTCTATGAAACTATTTTTTAAGTGGTTATACCATTTTTCATTTCTACCAGAAGTACATGAGAATACAAATTGTTCACACCCTTGGTATGGTCAGCCTTTAATATTAGTGATTCTAGTAGCGATGCCATGTGTCTCATTATAGTTTAATTTTCAACTCTACAATGGCTAATGATGTTGAGTATCTTTTTATTTGTTCTTGTTTATTTGTTCTATTCAGTGGCTCTCAAAGTATATTTCACAGACCAGCAACATCAGAATCACCTTGGAAACCTTGGAACTTTAAAAAAAATGCAAATATTCTGTCTCCACTTCATACCTGCTAAATCAGTAACTCTAGGAGAGAAAGTAGGTGGCAATTGGTTTTTCAGTAGTTCTCAAGGTGATTCCAATGCACTGTAAAGTTTGAGAACTACTGCACTATGTTAAGAGAGAAACAAAATAATAGATACAGATGCAGTTAATTTTGTGTATTTTGTATTATAAGTAGAGATGATTTATACTATTCAGACTTCCTTTTCTTTATAACATATATAGGGAGATCTGAAAGTGAGGGAGAGTAAGTCAGATGTTTGAGTAATATGGAGGAGGTATGGGTAACCATTAGAAAAATGGAGAAGCAGGCTGATGAGGTCATTAGTCACTATTAGATGTCACTTAAGTAATGCCATTGTCAACTTTTATTGCTGCCCATCTTCCTGATTGTATAATCTTCTCTCCCAATTCTGAGCTGCTCAAGGTAGAGGTATGAAAAAGGCAGCTTCTTGGATTTGTATGCAGTTATTCTGCCAAATGGGTTAAAGGGGAAGAGAAAGAGATCAGTAGTTGAGGGTATTTGCAAGAGAGTGAATGAGTGTAATCATGGATCATAGTCTCTCTGTGTAAAGAAAGAAAGAAAATGAAGACAAGGGGAGAATAATTAACAGATAGAAAGTTCTGAGACCTATAGATAAAAAGGTCTTGATGAGCTGGAAGAACTGCTTCAGTAGACACACTTCAGAAATGAGCTGGGAGTGTAAATGGTAATGGCTAAAAAGTGACATGCTTATTTTTGAATTCTTATTTTTTTGCGATAAGAAGCTATAAGATATGACCTTGGTAATGGAGGTTGAGATTACTGTGCCAGATCATTGGTATTGAAGTAGTCAAGAATGGGTGAATAAATATTCACATACATATTGAGGTTCTCTTTCATTAGTGATGTCAGTCATAATAGTGGATGGATGAATGGGAGACAGACAGCCGAGGACCAAATCAGAAAATACAGTGGCATCAGTATCACATAAAATAAATTGGAAGTCATCACTGGCACAGGAAATTCTGGCGGACACATATTTCTTTCTCTGGGAGGTTATTCGGGGCCCCATAATTTCAAAAACATATGTCCCAGTATGTGCTAAATTTATGGAATGCCTTTTGATAGTAAGATTCATCATTGTGCTATATGTGTATAAGTGTGTTTTAACCATGCATATACAAAAAATAACAACCAGCCAGCCTGGAGATGATTGCAAAGAAATTGAATCATAATAACTTCCTCGTGTTTTCCTATTCATGACAGGGGAAAAAAGTTTGCTTTGAAAAGCTCCTACCAACTCAGAAGTCCAAGGATAGAAATAGTGCCCTGCTAACATCCATTCTAATTCTTTTTTTCAAATTCACAGAGAGTGAAGAAGTGTATCAAAGGCAGGTGCTGTCAATTTCGTGTATCATCTTTGGAATTGTCATCGTGGGCATGTTCTGTGCAGCATTCTACTTCAAAAGCAAGTAAGACCATCTCTCTCAAGTGTTAAAAGGTTACTTCTCAGAGGAAGCACTTTGTCTTTCTTTAACTTCACAATCTCTGCTCCAGGCAGAGGGATCTTGTGCAAATGGGTCCATCAAACATCTACAAATGACTTAGAATCTCTTATAGACTGTGGGGAGTATATGCAGTATGTGTGCACGTGCACGTGTGTGCGTGCGTGTGTGTGTGCGTGTGTGTGTGGTTTCTCTTTGGTGCACATAGTGATCATTCCTCTCTGTGATCATGAACACTCCATGTTCTTTGCAGTTTCTGATTACCTGCCAAAAGTAACAGCTCAGTATCTGCCTATCACTAAGGGGTTAACACTTCTGAATAGAGAGGTCACTGGTGTAGACCTAAGTATTGTCAACAAATGCTAGACTTTTTTGGAAAAAAAAAAAAACCACACTTTTCCTTTCATAGTATTTTTACCTGATACCCATAAAGGTTTCAGCCAACTATGAAATATGAATACTATAAGATCTACTTTGTTTCATCAATTGGTAAGCACATCTCAAATATCCCCCATACTTACCCTGCTAAGAAATCAAAACTTCTGTGGTACCTGGCTGCTCAGTCAGAAGAGCATGTGGCTCCTGTCTTAGGGTTGTGAGTTTGAGCCCGACATTGGGTGTAAAGATTACTTAAGTAAATAAATACATAAATTTTTAAAAAAAGAAACCAAAACTTTTGCTATGATAAAGGTGCTAACTTTGACTAATAAAGTATAATAAAATATATACATACCTATATATACATACAAATATATTTATTCCAAAGGGACTTTGATAAAGGTGTTTTATTTATGGAAATTTTATTTAAGTCACGCAAGCCTTAAGAAGTTGGCGCAGATTCTATTCCTACAGCTTGTCTGAAATGCAAGCCAATGTGTAATTGCTTTTCATTGGACCTATATTTGTCTACACATTTGCTCTTCTAAAAATGGGTCCATTTCCAGATATAGTTTATGACACCTGTCTGCATGTTGTATATGTTGATCTTTAAAAAGAACAGCAATTATGATTTTAAAAAATAATGGAAACTCGGGTATGAATCCATAATTAGTAACTATTATTTTTTAATGAACTATTTCAGAATAGGTTTAGATTTTCAGAATTACTGTGAAAATAGTACAGATCCCACATAACCCAGACCCAGTTTCCCCTAATACTAGTGTCTTATATTAGTATGTTGCATTTGTCACAATGAATGAATGAAATAATATTCAGACTGAAGTTCATACTTCCAGATATCCTTAGCTTTTACCTAATGCACTTTGTTCCAGGCCCCCATCTAGGATACCACATCATATTTAATTGTCACGTCTCCTAGGCAACTCTTGGCTGTGACAGTTATTAGTGTTCATTTTTGAGAACCCTTTGTCAGGGACACTGAGCTTATCCCCCATTCCTCACAACAATTGGAATTGTTCATTATTGCTGCACTTTTCAAATAATAACAGAAGTTAATTTTAAAATATTAATTTGTCAAAGCCACACAGATGGGGTCTTTGAATTTCCCCAGTCCTAGTTGAAATTGCATGCTCCAAACCACTCTACCACATTGGCTCCCACGGTCCTCCTGCTAGATGGTGGAAGGTGAAACTATTTAGGGTGAATAATCAGGATTATCATGCCCTGGTGCCGCCCATAATGCTTGGCGTCCTCTAGGGAGCTTACGTGATATATGGTCAGGATTTTACATGCCTCACTCAACACCTGCATTCAAATCACCGGGGTGCCACTTGCTTTTTGTGTATTATTAGGCAAATTGCATCCAGTCCTTCAGCCTCGGTTTCTTTTTTGGTAAAATATGGCCGAAAATAATACTTACCTTATAGAATTTGTCAGGGATTAATGGGATAGCATTCTATAGAGCATAGCATGGTGTTCCAAAGAGTAAATAATGAAGGCTTGCTATGGTTAACGCCTACGGTTTTCCACACTGCAACTGAGAGGCTGGGTAACTACAGAGTGAAGAGCATACAGAGTGAAGCGCATGCACCGGAGCACGAGAGGGGTAATCACAAGCCACAGGGCGTTCAAAGGGTCTCCCTGCAAGTGCTGTGCACAGGAAAGAAGTTGTGTATTTAACAATAAGCAAATTACCATCAAGTGGTGGTTAATCACTTATTTTTAGAGTATAATTTGTAGTTGTACCACATGTAAGGGAAAGACTGATTATGACAATCACAAGAACAGAGAGCAGCTGGATGACTCGAGGACCTCCATCTTCAGGGCTGTCAATCTCTCCCTCTCCAGGCAGCACGTGGGCTCTGAGACGAACACCTCCTCCTGGGGCTATTATTTTTTAATGAACTATTTCAGCATAGGTTTAGATTTTCAGAATTACTGTGAAAATAGTACAGCTAGATCCCACATAACCCAGACCCAGTTTCCCCTCATACTAACGTCACCTTAGTGAGGTGTGGGGGTTTAATGTAAACACTGTGCAACATCATTCATTCTGGGGGACTTCCAGAACTGAGCCAGGGGAGGAACACTAATCAGGATGTTGTCTTTCTGCCTGCCCAGCTGGGACACATTTTTATTAAAAATTAAATAAATAAGAAAATGTGAGAATAATAAAGTAATACTAAAAATTGAAGGCTATTCCGACTGGAATTACATTTCTCATTAGAGACCTAGAGTGTATTTCCTTCTAGCACAGTTTCCAGGCAGGGTCTTCCTTTATTTTTCTTTGCCGGAGAGGAGTGCTACACCTCACACCAAGCATCTAATCTATATAGCTGAAAGCAGTGTAAATTTTTATATCACACTGGCACATGTGTCTTTCCACTCATTCCTGGAATTCTAATTCCCATCCCCAGATCTCAGGGATAATAGCATAGGCAGACTCTACCTTAATCTGTCCTTACTTTCACACATACCATAAGGTTGTTAATATGTGTATCATTTGTTTGACTTCATCTTGGAAGTGCCAAGTCTTCTAGGGTTCTAGGAACTCTCCATCATTGGTTTTTAAATAAATGCACTCAAACCAGCATTCTGTATGCTGGGATATACAGTTTCTAGCCAGAGAGTCAGGAGTTACCCAAAAGCTCATATTCCCTTGGATCATTTATATTTTAGTTCCAATAATTCCTCAGATCTACCACTCTGGTCCTTTGTCCATTGTCTTGTGACCCTTGGTATGGCATTACTTAACCACATGGAATATTATAGCAAATTGTTAGATGAAAGTTTGAAGGTAGATAACATGATGAGGTAGAAGTGATCAACACCTTCTTGGATTTAGAGGATTTTCTGAGTTAACTGAACCTCCACAACTCTAAAGGACACAATGAAAGAAATTATCTTCTCATCACTTCCAATAAGCTCATATATTCCCATAAGTGGTTAATGGAACTATTAGTTGAGCTATTCAGATCTGGCTGATGGGGCTCACGTGGCAACTATAAATTCTTCTAGGTTTCTTTTTACTTTCAACTCATATGGGTAAGAAGTGTGAGGCTGCCTGTAGGAGTCCTTAGTAGACTTGGGAAGTGCAAGACACAATTCAACTCTAAAAAACGGAATTGGGATAGGAGAGGAGATGTTCCAGGAGGTAGAAGCTAGGACAAATAATGATCACGACTGGGAAAAACAGAAGGAAAAAGGAAAAATGGTGCTCCCAGTAAAAACCAGCCCTGACTATAGGTATCACACTCGGAAGTCAAAGATTTTAGCCCAAGGAAAGCCTGTTAAAGACAGGCAGTGAGTGCTCTGATATGCAGCTTTGATTCTCTTGAGCAGTGAATATCTTAGCCCTCCAGTTGCTAAAACAAATATGATCCAAAGAGCCTCCCTTAATAAAAATCCTGCATGCTGTCTCCCTCTCAGTGCCTGCTTCCCCAGGAACCCATCCCACAACATTACCAGTAATGCCAACCAGTGTACTTGTGATGCCTGATATTCCACAACTTACATACCATTTCTTTCTTTTTTTTTTTTTTTAAAGATTTTATTTATTTGTTTGACAGAGAGAGACACAGCGAGAGAGGGAACACAAGCAGGGGGAGTGGGAGAGGGAGAAGCAGGCTCCCCGCAGAGCAGGGAGCCTGATGCGGGACTCTATCCCAGGACCCTGGGATCATGACCTGAGCTGAAGGCAGATGTTTAACCAACTGAGACACCCAGGTGCCCATACATGCCATTTCTTTCTGATGAACTGGACCAGAGAAACTTAAATCTCAATGAACTATAAAATGTTAACACTGACATTGTTAGGCTAGTAGGGTTCTAGTGTACAATGCCCGTATCTTGTCTTTCCCAGAGCATCGACTCCTGTGAGAGAGCTAATGGTATTTTAATCAGACACCTCTCCTGTCCTGGTTCCCATCTGCTGGGTGAGGGAGGAAAGAGCAAAAATATGTGTGTTTGGGACAGGGTAGGGATGATACCTTTCTGGTTCAGAAAGGAAAGCCTGTTTATCCTGGAATATTAGTGAGTTGGGACTTCAGTGAGAAGCCAGTAAAGCAAAGCAAATTATATAAGGACTTAGGAAACTGCAGTCACGCGTTTTTATGAGGAAAATTCTTTCAGAAGTCGGCATTTCCCGGACACTGAATTACAGAATTACTGAACAGATAGTTAATGTTTCTACTATTTAATCCTTCAGAGAGTAACTGGGTCTTCACTCTGTGCCAAGTCCCCTTTACTGCCTCATGATAATTTACTTGGGCAGAACCTCCTGATCTCCTGTTTCCTTCATCAGTGAATCCCTGATGGGATTTTGTGGCTATAATGTGCTTCATAAGATGCTGATATGATAGATTTATTTTTAACAATAGGCTACAGGTTAGCTCTTAGGAAATAGATATATTATTACAACTGTATTAAAGCAACTAAAGGTACTGGAGATAAAAGCCCCCCAAAACAATTGAAAAGATAAAAAATTTTTAAACAAACAGAGCTACATCACTGCTATTATAAATTCAAAAGAGTTAATGATGCTCAGAACTTCCAAATCTGGTAGCAAACACTGTCACTTGCTTGTGAGAGATGCAATTAATACCATCCTTTCTTTTATCTTTGAGCCAATGTTCTAATTTCTCTGTAGGATCTGCCCATACAACTAAGCTTGCTAAACGATGAGAAGGGGAACAGATCAACACCTTACAGGTGTTCTCATATTCGGTTTCTACAGTACCCATGGAAGTTAGCTTTTACAACACCATGCACAAATGAGGAAACTGAGCCTCAGAGAAGTTTAGGAAAACAGTCATTTCAATTTAGGAAATCAAAATAGAAGTGGTGGGTGGCAGTTTTGGGATTCAAATCCCAGTCCCTCTGATACCCAAGTCCATTCTCAGGAAAAGTTCTCTGCAGGAAACCGTGCACATATTCCACCGAAGGCTCTATCTTTGACAGGGATCTTAGGAAGAGTTAAAAGTTCGGGGTGGGCAGGATGATTCTGCAATGTGTGTGTGTGTGTGTGTGTGTGTGTGTTTATGGGCACTGAGTCTTCTGCTGATATATAATTACTGTAAAGCCCTTGGAAGAGAGCAGCTAATAAGGGAGTAGTTTGTTGCATCCTTCTGGTGTAGCCACTGTATGACTTAAGCAACAGTCACCCACATATACAGACAAAAGTACTTTACTCAGAGTCTGAAACTCGAGAATAGTCTCAGTCTTTCCACTGAGAAGCTGTGGAAATATGGGCAAGGGGTTTGACAGTCCCAAGTGGTGGTTGAGAGTACAGAGTATGCAGCCAGATGGGCTGGGTTCAAATTCAGCTCCACCACTTACTAGCAATGTGACTCTGGAAAAATTATTTAACTTCTCTGTGCCTCAGTTTCCTCATATATTAAATGAGTATAGGTTAATGCCTCATCACACAGAATTATCGTGAAGAATAAGTGAGTTGATACATCGAAAACGCTTAAAATGATGCTTGGCACATAGCAGATGTTCTTTCAAGACTTAACTATATTTTTATTATTATTTACAAAGTAGAAATAAAAATCTTTACATTCAGGTCTAATGGTAACAATAAATGAGCTATTTCTAAATTGTAGAAGAGAAAATATACTCATGGTATATATGCAGGCTATGCGATCAAACTACACATGTTTGGAAATGTAAATGTAACAAATAGAGATGTAACTTTGTACTATGTTATATGTGGCTGCTAGGTACAAGCTTCACATTTTTCCACTGGTTACTGCAGAGCATTTCTAATTCTTTACCTCTGAGCACTAAGGGTTAGGGACCTCTTGCATCTCTGGGGGCCAGGATGATGTGTTATGCTTCTGTCTGCCCTTGGCACACCACTGGGTGTGAATCCCAGGATGTTGATAGATAAAACCAGCTTCTCTCCAAATTAGAACTTATCAAATGGGGTTGGTAGGTTGAAAATGAAGGAAGGATGTTCTTTGTTAACTGAGTTTTCCAGCTTTCACAAATGACAAATAGAGATGTTGGGAACGAATGAACCCCCAAAATATGAATAGAACAAACTGATGTAACTATTTATGTGTTTGTTTATTTAAACCTGCAGGAAACAAGCTAAACAAATTCAAGAGCAGCTGAAAGAAACACAAAATGGTAAAAACTATAGCCTCAAAGCATCCAGCACAATGGCAAAGTCAGAGAACTTGGTGAAAAATCATGTCCAGCTGCAAAATGTAAGTTTCCTGTCTATACCTCTGTTCCTCCAACCCACCTCAGTGCTTCCAGTTCAGAGGGGATGGGAGCTTGGGATCAGACTTGTATATTTTTTTCAGTACTTTGTAGATTTTTCCTTAAATCATCTTGCAGTTCGGTGTGTAGGCATGTGCACATGTACAAGTTGAAACAGAGAAAAATTAAATCTCAGCTTTTGATTACAATCTGCAATATAAATTAATCTCTAGAAGAAAAAAAGAGCTTCATTTGTTTGTTCCATAATGACTTATTACATTCTAACTACATGTTGGAAATTGTGCTGGGGCCCAGGGATACAATGTTCTCTACCTTATGGGAACTTAAATGTGGTAAGAGATACGGACACCAGAACCAGAGGGGGTATGTGGCCTGAGATGGTTGACATTCCAATAGATTGGTGAGGAAACCAAAGGGAGCTGGATGGGTGACATGTTCATCAGCTAGTCAAAGAGACTAGGAAAAACAGAAAAAAAAGAGCCATGGAATGTGTACTATATTCAAGGAACTCCAAGGTAAGTAAGGGGTGTGAGAGATGTCAAAGGTAAGAGAGGTGGGAAGGGAGAGTTGTATTCTCAGAGTCAGTATGTCCTAATACCAAACCTTAAATAGATAGCAGAACTTGAAATACGAGCTCTTTGAATCCTACATTCTTTCTACAGTTGTTTTAATCATTTCTGAGATACATTACAAAACACTAATTAAAGACAAGCAAATATCATCTAAGACACACTGAAATATTCCTCTCAAGGTAACAATTCTTTGCCCCCATATAAGATTGCACTTCCAGATTCTGAGACACAAAAGGAAGGAACAAAGGCTGTGGTATAAACCTAGTATTTGAGTATAATAGACAATCACCCAGGACATATTCATGCCCCTCCCAATGCATAAATCACTGGGAATTTATACATCATTTGTGATTCTAAAAAATCTACCCAGAAAGTAACCATTTGCTATGCATAACAGATGTACTTAGATGTTTAGTGTGGAATTCATAAATCAGAATTGCTTCCCAGCAAAGTTTTGTTAAACTTGTAATCATAGTTATGTGGGGACTGTTCTTTTCTGTAACAGAAGGGATGGTTTTGCTAATGATTTCTGAGTATTATCTTGCCACCTCACCACACAAATGCAGTGATGGAGGGTTTCAATTCCTTAGCAACTGGACCTGCTGAAGAGAAACAAAGCCAGTCACTAGTTAAGATAGTAAGGACAGATTTTAATCAGTAATGTATTTTTGCATTATGGAAGAAGCTGCAGCACAAACTGAACTCAACTTCAACTTGTACAGAGGTGACTGGTTGTTTTAAAGGGAGAATGAGGGAATAGAGAGAGGAATCAGTGGGGGCTTGACAGAGTCAGGGAAGTAAAAAATCAGAGTTGGTCAGTGTGCTAGTCAGCTGACAACTAATGGAGTTTAGAATTCTGTTACTTCCACAGAGACAGGGAGACAGAGGTCCTATCCTTCCTTATTACATTTCAAATATTTGGCTTTCAGGTCCTTGAGAAAGAAACTCCTGAGTTGTTGGAGATACATATTCATCTCAAAATGACAAAGGGCAGCTTACATTTATAAGCCTTGTTCAAGTAAATGCTCCAAGAAAGGCAGGTCAGGGGCCTTTCCTCCTCCAGCATTGGCTAGAACAAACAGTAAATTCTTTTGGAGACTTTGGAGTTTTTGTTTTTGTTTTGTTTTTCAGGCAGGTGTTTTAAGGAAGGTTAGGGTCATTCTAGGGGTGAAGCCTTGAGCTATTAGAGGCTATTAAAAAACAGAGAAAGGGACTATATTAGAGTTTACTCAAGTCTTTTAACGTGGGGATGAGTGAATGAAGTCATTTGTGCTGGGAATCTGCAATTCTTAGAGGCCAAAGTTAAGGCCCAGTAGAAAAGAGGGCTCAGAGGAGGCTGTCTAGAGTTTGGTTGGGAAGAGTCTGGGTCAGTCCCTATGCGTTTTACAGGGTTGCAGCCAAAACACACATATAGTTTTGTATCCTTCATTTTCACCAAACAGATGATCAATAGCATTTTCTGTCTGCTTTACGCTCTCCACAAACTCATTTGAGAGATAGCATAATTGTCCACAAGGTGGCCACTTCACAATGTCCTCATCCTTCTCTTCTTGTAGACATTCCTGTTCTTTCCTATTGTTTACTATTAAAGGACTATGAAAATAAACTCCTCATTCATATGCATCCCCACCCCTCATTTGATTGGAATGATTAGAATTAGAATAACAAGAAATTACAAAGTGTATGGGGTTGCAACATTTGAAAGACTTTGGGGCACATTGGATTTTCTTTTCTTTTTCTTTCCCTCTCCTCCCCTCTCGGCCCACCCATACCCACATTTTGTATGTTAGCCAGGGAAGCAGAGGGTGGGCTCAACTAGATCATTCCCACAGGGCCCAAGATAAGATGTGGGAAAGTGTCTTTATATTTCTCCCATTTAGGATAAAGAGAATATATATAGGACATTTTTTTTCCTCTGGCTTGGGGTGTGGTCAGCTAGGACAATACATTTCAAGGGATCATCAGTTTTAGGCTGAGCTGGGAGTTGAGGCAGAGAATAGATAGGAAAGGAAGGCTTGTAAGGACCCTGGAGAAGGAGAGTGAGGTGCATCGAGGAGACACATGCATGCTGGCCATAACAGCCTACACTTCGCCTGCTTGGGCCCAAGGGAGGTCCCTTTAACCAGACTAGACTGGAATAAATAAGTTGCTCTCCCACAGGCACATATCAGTTTCAGTGCTAGAAAGCAATGTGGGTCACTACTAGGTTTGTTATACCTTTGTCATCATTTCTTTTGCTAATTTAATAGGAGAACATGGTATTTTTTAAATTTACATTTAACTATTTGACTGTGTAGTACAATCTTAGTCCATATATTTCTAGTCAAATGTTCAGTCTGGTGAGTTATGTCCTGCTGATACTCTTGCTCCTATTTTTGTTATAAGAATCAAATAACAATTGGACTGTAGTTTTTCATGTAGTGTATTATGGGAGAAAATAGTAATGGAGAATATATATCAATAATACATTGGAAAGGAAAAGAAAGTTTTAAGAGCATTTGCTCTCCTTCCATTTTATGCTGAAGATATGCAAGGAGAAGTATAGAGGACATCTATGTAGCTGGAAGCCAGGTAGCACTGGTCTGAGGGCAAGCAGTAATCTGATGTGTGGCTCAGATTTTTTGCATGAATATTGAAAAAAGCAAGGGTATTGAAGAAAATTCAGTAAAGCAGTTTTTCTTTGTAGGTCTATTTTTTCTTTCTTCTTCTGGCAAGATCTTTGAGGAAATACCAACGTCAATGTTAAAAGCAAACAATGATAAATGAAATCGTGATCATCATAATAGCAAATATCATGGACTGAGTACATATACAGAATCATGCTAAATGATATAAATACATCGCCTCGTTTCGTCCTAACAGCAACGACTTAATTTACACCCCCTATGTGCACAAGAGGGAAATGGGACTCAAAAAAATTTTATCGCTGCCAGCCTGCCTGTGAGTAGCAGAAAGGCAAACTCACAACTTTACAACTCAGCGGTTCAACCGGGGGCAGTGTTGTCCCAGAGAACTTTTGGCAAAGTCTGGAGAGACTTTGGGTGTTACAGCTTGAGAGACATCTATGAGCAGAGGGCAGAAGTGCTGATACATATTCCACAATGTACAGGATAGCCCTCCCCCCGCAACAGAAAATTATCCTCCCCAAATATCAAGAGTGGGGAGGAAATCCAGAGTCCAAGCTCAAGTTGCATAGTGCATCCAGTAGGAAATTCTGAATGCCCAGCATAGGAGTGCTATCATTGTTTCTACTACACAAAGGGTGATGGGTTATCCACAAACACTCTAATCCTTGGGAGGGAAAATTTCCTGCTGGGACACCATATCAGGCAAATCTGTCTTTATTTTATCTTGAAGCCCAGGTTAACTACTTGAAATTCTTTGCAAATTGCAGTGTTTAACAAATGAATTGTCTGCATCTGGCATTCCCTTAAGTTCGTTAAACATTCATGGGGAAGGGTTTCACTTTACAGTCATTTAACAAGATGTGAAACACCTAGTCCTCAGTGAAGCAACATGATACGCTGGAAACACTTGACTCAGAGGCTGCAGAACTAGACCTGGCAGTGCGGTAGAAGCATCGAGCGCCTTATCGTCATTAACAGATGAAGCATTTGTGACTCAGAGATGAACTGACCTCATTGACTGTGTCCTGCGTGAGAGAGGGCTAGAGCTAGCATTATAACTTCCAGCCTGAGCGACACTTCTCAGCCTGATTCAGGGATCAGAAAGTCCTTAAAAGAGAGATGATCACACTACATCAAAAACTGATGATGTAATGTATCGTGATTAACATAACAATAAAAAATTTTTTAAAAAGAGAGATGATCCCTTCTCTCTTAAAATCAAGAGAAAATATACCTAAGTGAAAAGTAAGGGAATAAAATTATGTATGCCTTCCCACGCTTTTTTCAAGAACCCTCTCAGGAAAGATAGGTTTAGGGGAGTAACATTCAATGAGAAAGTATTGGAAGATAATATTTGCATGCATTAGGAGAGTCATAAGAATTTAGTGCCTAACACAGCCTTGATGATTGGTAGAGAGAGGCATCCATTTATTCTGTAATACTTATTAAACACTTCTCTATGCTGGGCACTGTATGAAGATCTTACAAACAGAAGAGATGGATCCTGACATGGGGGAGCTCACAGGCTCGTGGTAGAAACAAGTATGTAAGCATATACAGCACTTGTTCTCTAATGTAGATACATGAAGTCACAGAGCTATCAGAGAATGGAAAAGGACATCTGTGATTGTCTGGGGGAATACTGAATCCTGCCCAAAGTAGGTGACATACGAACTGAGTCTTGGGAGTGAGCTGAAGTTCTGTCAGATAGTTGTAAGAGGGTTGGTCAGAAGAGGTAATTGGTAACGTCTTTATAGCATGAATCAACGTTAACTTTGAATAGTT